GCAGCGCTCATCTCACTTTATTGGCCGAGGGAGCCGGCGTACAGCTCCCAGGTCATGTAGCCAGCGTGGCTAAGCCGCTTCTGGCGAACCAGAGCAGCGCACGGAAATGCCGTTTACCTTCCCGCCGGAGCGGTACCTATTTATCTACTTGCACTTTGATGTGCTTTCGAACTGCAAGGTTGGCAGGAGCAGGGACCGAGCAACAGGAGCTCACCCCGTCACGGGGATTCGAACCGCTGACCTTTTGATCGGCAAGTCCTAGGCTCTGTGGTTTAACCCACAGCGTCACCCATGTCCCTTAGATTTTTTATGTACTCTGATGCTAAATTGATTTCCAAGACCCAGGAAATATTTTATTTGAAAGAGAAGCAAGCTCCTGTTCAGCTTGATTGTAAGATGAGCGCTAGGCTGCTTCTCTTGGAAAGCACACCTGCCTTCGAACTAGAATATGATCCTTCGCTGTGAAAAAGTTTTAACTCTTTCTCTTTTTTTTGTCCATAGGGCTTTGAAGGATTAGGTGAGCAGCTGATTTTCCTCTTTTGATCAAGGCCCATCTTTCACTGTCACACACCTGACATCATATATAACCCCTGGACCACATTCACACCGTGCATTTAAAGCACTGTGATAGCACTTTAAACTACCATGGCTTCTCCCAAAGGATCCTGGGAAGTGTAGTTCATTAAGGGTGCTGAGGGTTGTTAGGAGACCGCTATTCCCCTCACAGAACTACAGTTCCCAGAATTCCCTGGGAAGGAGGATTGATTGTTAAGCCACTCCAGAATGGGAAGAGGGAGTTCCCCCTCTCAGCCCCATCCACAAACCACAGCTCCCAGAATTCTTTGGGGGAAGCCACTACTATTTCAAATGGTATCATAGTGCTTTAAATGTCTGGTGTGAAGGTGACAGTGGGCATGACTTGGCCAAAACTGCCTTATGTGCCAAATGGGGAGGCTGGGAGTGCCTAATTAAGACTCTGCGGGCTGGATCTTTTTTTCCCCTTTTTTCTTTAAAGGATAATGAATTATTAACACTATTTTAAAATCAAAACTGTGTAGGCCTTAAACGAGCTACAAACTCTTCCCTGTTGGATACAAGCCTATGGCATGTTTGTGACAGAGACTAGGAAATCAGGACTTCTCTTTTTGAAAAAATAAAAACCCTAAGGTATTTGGTGGGGAGGACAGTCAACTCAAGGAACGATAATTATAATTTGCAAATATAAGGCTGACATTTTTCGGCTGTAGGTATGTATAAATCCTGACAGGCGTGATTCGCCCATTTGGCGAAACAGTTCTCTACCGAGAGCAGAACAGCCTGTTCTCATGATGGCCCGTCACATCCCTGCAGCTCATTAAAACTTTTTATTTTATTTTTTATATGGAGGATTAAACTTCCCCAAAGCATCAGAACCTTCTGAGGGACTTTAAGTACACACCGGTTGAAAGGTGTTTCAGGGGAAAAGCCTTGGGTCTGACAAACTGGATTTTTAGTAACGGCTTCCCGTTCACAGCGGGACAAAATAATTGGTCATCAGTGACTACTAATTTGGTTGAATAGCCAGAGGCGGGTTTCCCCCCCACTTCCTGGAAAATCAATGACAGCTCCGAAGTCTGTTCAGCAGAAGACAGAGAATTTCTTTTTTTTAATTATTAAAAAAAAAACCTTTTTAGATGTTGATGATCCTTTTGCTGGAGACAGCTGTTTTGTTAAAATTAAAATCTATGCACAACGCCGACCTGTGAGCAGGCAGCCAGGGACAAAGTGACAACACTGTACTCTAGGGTGGTGTGTCAGTTTCCTCTGAAAACTTTTCCCTCTGAAAATCTTATAAAATTCTATTCTGCTTCCTTCTCCCCATGCAACATAACCCTCTGATACCTTCTCTGGGCATTAAGAACATATGGAAAGCCCTGCTGGATTAGGTCAATGGCCCATCTCGCCCATCATCCCCTTCTCAAAGAAAGGACCCTCTCCTAGCCCAGCCTGAATGTGTTAGGGATTGAACCTAGGAACCTGTTCTTTCACTTAGCTGCAGCCTCATGCCCCAAAGAAGAACATGCCCAATGGCTAAGAAACCAAGAAGAGCCTGCTGGATCAGGCCAATGGCCCACCTCACCCAGTATCCTATTGTTACAGAGGCCAACCAGTAGCCTGTGAGAAACCTGCAAAAGCAAGACCCCAGCAAAAGAGAACCGCCCTCCTGTGGTTTCCAGCAACTTGTGTTCAGAAGCATGCTGCCTCCAACTCTGGAGGCAGAGCATAGCCATCATGGCTAGTAAAAAAAAGGTAATGGACCCCTGGACGGTTAAATCCAGTCAAACGTGACTATGGGATGTGGCAGTCATCTTGCTTCAGGCCAAGGGAGCCAGTGTTTGTCTGCAGACAGCTTTCAGAGTCATGTGGTCAGCATGACTAAGCTGCTTCTGGCGCGACGGGACACCATGACGGAAGCCGGAGTGCACAGAAATGCTGTTTATCTTCCCGCCGCAGTTTTATCTATTTATCTGCCTGCACTGGTATGCTTTTGAACTGCTAGGTTGGCAGGAACTGGGACAGAGGCTCAATGATTTAAACCACAGCGTCACCTGCTCCCCCATGGCTAGTAGCCATTGATGGCCGTGTTCTCCATGGATTTGTCCTATCCTCATTCAAAGCCATCCACATTAGTATACATCAATACCTCCTGTAGTACATTATTATTATTATTATTATTATTATTATTATTATTTCTTCCACCCCGTTCCACAGTTTAACTACATGCTGCATGAAAAAGTCCTTTATATTGTCCATCCTGAATCTTCCAACTTTCAGCTTTGTTGGATGTTCATGAATTCTAGTGTTAGGAAAGTGGGCAGAAAACTTCCCTTTGTCCGCTTTCTCTATCCTGCACGCAGTTTCATAAACTTCTGTAATGTTGCCTCTTACTTGGATTTCTCTAAATTGAGAAGCCCCAAATGTTGCAACCTTTTCTCATTTCATTTATTGCATTTATATCCCATCTTTCTCTCCAAGGATCTCAAGGTGGTGCACAACTCCCCCATCTCATTCAATCCCCATTACACCCTGTGAGGTAGGTTAGGCTGAAAGGCAATGACTGGTCCAAGGTCACCTAAATGAGCTTTACAGTGGTACCTTGGGTTACAGACGCTTCAGGTTACAGACTCCGCTAACCCAGAAATAGTACCTCGGGTTAAGAACTTTGCTTCAGGATGAGAACAGAAATCGCACAGCGGCGGCACAGCAGCAGCGGGAGGCCCCATTAGCTAAAGTGGTACCTCAGGTTAAGAACAGTTTTAGGTTAAGAACGGACCTCCAGAACGAATTAAGTTCTTAACCTGAGGTACCACTGTATGTCTGTTTGGAGATTTGAACCCTGGTCTCCCAGGTCCTAGTCAGCTGTTCCACCATTCCCTGATCGGTGTTACCATGCTGTGCAATGCTAGGGGCTCCTTTTCCCCATTCTACCTCTATCCCAAATGATAACCAATGAAGAGCAGCTGACCAAGTCCCCCGTGCTTATTTCTCCTGCTCTCCTTGTCCCAGCAGCAAAGAGAATGATGCATCCACAGATTCATGTCTTTCCTAGGCAGCAGATAGAGCCTGCTGTTCCTTGAACCTTCCTTCTTTCTCCCTCCCTCTCTTGCTGGCTTTAATTGTTCCCATTTGGGTAAGGGACCTGTCTGGTCTAACAAGGCCTGCAGAAAGTAGGAGGGGGAAGCAGAGAAAGAGGAGAGGGAGGTAACTGAAGCACTTAGCTCCCTTCCATAGCCTTGGTGCTCACACCTTAATTAGGAAAGAGGACCGCTGGGCATTTGGTTATCTTTTTTAATTGTTTATGGCCTGGCGAGCATAAAAAAGTAATGGCAGGGGAGGGAATGTGGATGCAAGTGGCCGGAGGGCCTCAGCTTCCAAGTCAAGCTGTAAACGCCCATTTGCAGTTTGTTAGCTTGTTAATATCTCCTCTTCCGAAGAAGGGGCAGATTCAATTAGTAGCAGGAGAGAGCCTTTGTCATAGGTGGCAGTAGGGGAAAGGCGGACAAGGAAGGCAGGACTATAAAGGAGCTGTCCTTTGAAGCCGTATCATGCAGCCCCCCCACAGCTTTACAGATAGGCCTCTAAACAGACCCCAGAAATAAAGCCACTGAGAGGCATGGAGGATCATTTTGAAAATGATCCCCATTTGTCCTCATTTTCCCTTCCTCAGAAAAAGAAAGAAGACCCTTCCCCACTGACAAATCCCAAATGTGTAGGTGGAAAACATTTGGGAATCTGGATCCTGAATGCCAGCAAAACTACCCAATCAAACCAATGCTTAGCCTGCATGCATTTTAAAGCACACTAAATTAAATTAAAATGCCATATCTTGGGTGGGAAAAGTGACTGTGGTTCCCCCCCCGCCCACCACAAAAACTGCAGATGACCTCAGATTTCCATATGCCTTCATGCCCCCGCCCCCAGTAAATTGCAAGGAGGGGGGAAAAACAGTGATATAAATTACTTCTCTGTGGGCAGCCAATAAGGAAAATGCTTTTTTCTAAGAGTCGGAAGATCTGTTATTTGACTCAGAGGGCTCGTATGAGCTGATGCCGTCAGAAGAATAAATTCTCTTGTAAACAGAACGCTTAAAAAGATTTATCAGATGTTCATTGCCATGCTTAGAGGAGTGTGTGTGTGTAGTTATGAGTGTGTCAAATTTGCTTTGCTCTAGCTGAGATGTGTCTGAAGTAGAGTACAAAGAAGTCTGGGGAAGGAAGGGCAGCAGCTCAGTGGGCCGAGCGGAAGGTCCCAGGTTCAAGCCCCAGTCACATCTCCAGGTAAGGCTGGGAAGAGCCCTGTCTGGAACCCTGGAGAGATGCTGCCAGTCAGTGTAGACAGTACTGAGTTAGATGGACCAGGAACTTGTACTGAGCTGACTCAGGACAAGGCAGCTTCCTGTGTCAATTGGCTGTTTATTCAGAATCATGAGGACTAGAATCTTACTTTATTTTGAGGGGAAGGGTCATAGCTTAGTGGTGTAGCATCTACCTGGGATGCAGGAGGTCCCAGGTTCAATCTTGTTCATATCCAGGTTGCGCTAGGGAAGTTCCCTGTTCTGAAATGATTGAGAGCTTCTGACAGGCAGTGTAAACCAGGGGTGGGAAACCTCAAGCCCAGGGGACAAATGTGGCCCTGCAGATCTCACTATCTGTCTCTTGGGACACTTCCTAGACCTCATCCCTCTCTGACCCTTTTCCACATCCACCTTAGGTGTTTTTGCCAGGCTGGGATTTGTCATTAAACTCTGATAAATGATCAGTGTTTGTCTGCATGGAGGATAGAGAAGTGTGCATGTGGAAAAACTATCCTACTGTAAAAGATAAACTTTACATTCATTGCCCCAGACCACTTTTGTCTCTGACCCTGTTCATCACTGGCACATGCCATCCTCGCCCCCTGCCCTGAAGTTTGCCCAGAAAGGAACAATACTAAGTTAGGTGGACCAGCAGGTCTGACTCTTTAAAAGGCCATTTCCTGTGTTCCTAAATTGCTGGTGTTTTCAAGGAAGCTGAGTAATGAACATATAGGCCACATTAACACCATATGTTTAAAGAAGTATGATACCACTTTGTAAACAGCCATGGCTTCCCCAAAGCATCTTGGGAGCGTTAGTCTTTTAAGAGTGCTGAGGGTCGCTAGAAAATGAACTGATATTGATTTATATATATTAATGTAACATTTTTATATGAAACTGTGTATTATTGCAATATTTTGTTTATCTGTTGTTGCTTCAGTTTTCTATACACCACTAAATCTTTATAGCAGTCCAAAGACCCATAGAACAATTTCAGAACAAAATGCAGTTAAGAAGGCCAACCGCAAAAGAGAGAGAAACTGAGATGGTCATTTTGTTTTGTCTCAATGATCTTTGTTTCTTTTATCCACTTAAGGATATTTTTATATATATTAAGCTGTATAGAAATTAAATAATCTAATTTATTCCCCCAGAGCTACAATTTCCAGTTCCATGTGAAGAGGGATTGACTATTAAACCAATCTGGCAATTGTAGGTCTGTGAGGGGAATATAGGGGTCTCCCAGCAACACTCAGCACCTTTAACCAACTGGAACCCCCAGAATTATTTGGGGGAAGCTGTGACTGTTTTAACGTGGTATCACAGTGCTTTAAATATAGGGTGGCTATATGTATGTGGCTATATTTGCAAAGCTAAGCAGGATCCAGTATTGTTTCAAAGTGGATGGGAGACCACATGTTGGGATTCTTGCATTGTAGGTGATTGGACTAGAAGACACTTGTGGTTCCTTCCGATTCTATGATTCTATGATTTGTCTATGATTTGTTTAGGGAAATATCTGGGGAACACCACTTAATCCTGAAGTCCCACTTGTGTGAAGAACTACCAAAAGAAAAAAATGGCTGATTACCTGAATTCAAAAAAGGATGCAGGGCTTGCCTCACTCTTTAACGAAAATAGCCCTCAGCAGAGTTTAAAATACAGATTTATGCAGCACTTGGAAAGCATGAGAAATACAGGTTGTCAAACTTATAAACATTCCATTACTAAGCACTTACAATTCTCCCCTGCCTCTACTCTTCTCTAAGTGAATAGACCACAAACTTTAGTAAGTTTAAATGCTTTACTTACAGTGGTCTCATGTATGCATCTCAATGCTACAGCAAAAACAACAGAAGTAAGGCATTCTTGGGTTGCAAAATACAGAAGTTAGTCACAAACATGCGGTCCCAGCCTCAGATGTCTGCTCAGCTTACATGGTTCAAACAGAAGAGGGAGAAAGAGGAAAGGTGGGGGCAGACAATACTTCCTTGCTCCCCCAAGGTGAGTGAGCATGACCTGGCCATGCTTTCTCTAGCAATTTACAGTTTTGTGGTCCTTAGGCCCTTACTTACTGGTGGTTATGCACAGTTATGTTTGGCTGCATTAAATCTCCCACTGTTTCGAGGCGGTGGCTTTTCCTTTGCTGGAAGTGCATAAGCAGAAGCTATCCAGTTTTCCAGCTGTCTGTCAGCACGGGACAATGTAATTTAGGGTTGGGGAACCTGTTGTCCTCCAGATAAGGAAGAGCCAGGAAGCTTATACAGGAGTCTGGGAGAAACACACAATCCACTCTGGCCTATTAGATGCAACTATAGCAAGGCTGGGAAGCTTGTGGCCCTTAGCTGTTATAGGAGGGGCACAACTCTCCAGTCTATTGGGTAGGGTTGTAGCTAACTAAGTTATACTTGGAGTAGACCCACTGAAATGAATGAGCCTGAATTAGACATAACCATCAATTCCAGTAGTTCTACTTCGAGCAGGATGAACACTGGATACAGTGTGATGCAGTGGTCAGAGTGCTGGACTAAGACCTGAGAGACCAGGGTTCAAATTCCCTCTCATCCATGAAGCTCACTGGGTAGCTCTGGGCCAGTCGTTGCCTCTCTCAACCTAATCTACCTCATAGGGTTGTTGCTCTGAGGATGAAATGAGGAGGGGGGAGAACCATGCATGCCACTTTGAGCTCTTGTGTGGGGGTGGGGGAAGGTGGGACATAAATGCAATAAACAAACAGATATAAATGCAATAAACAGACAGACAGATGAGCAAACTCGGTAGTCTTTAAAAAATCTGATTAATCATTGGGCCCTTTTTAATCAAAATGGTGTTTGATACATTAATCTAACCAATTTACTAAACATTAAAGTCACGCTGTATGTGTGTAAATGCATGCTCGCTCGCTCTCTCTCTTACACACACACACACACACACACACACACACACAGGCCTACTTTCGCTTGAAAGCAAGGCTCAGAGGATGAGAGCAGGGGTCTCTTGCATGAGAGCGTGGATGTAGCAGAGTTATCTGTTACTGAGGCGCTCTGCGCTCTGAGGGCAACCTCCCTGCGGCATAACCTGGTTCACAGAAGGCAGCCCTTGTAAAAATCAGAGGATGGAGTGCGGATCCGAGCGATCTGATTGGAGGATGCCCCATGGGGGCGGCCGGGGACCCCACCACATCCTCGTTAGCGCTGACCTTGGCAGGAGTGCCGGCTGCTGATGAATAGGCTACAGTCCTGGACAACGCTCCTGGGAGCGGCCATATTATCTATTATTGTCCCATCAGCGCCTTCCTGAAAAGCCCCTCCCAGCTTAGCACACCACAGACCTTAGGAAGGGAATAAATCTATGTCTGGGATGAAGAGAAGGGGAAGGAAAAAGAGGAATGAAAAATGTCCTTTTTATGGCTCTTTGCAACAAAAGGTGGCCACGTGGCCTGTGCAAAACAAGTTTCCTGGGGAAGGAGAGGGAGGTGGAGAAAACACACACACACACACACACGTTGAACAGCTCCTCTAATCATGATGCAATGCCTCTTGTCCTAAACTGGTGCATGACCTTCCAAGGTAAACAGCCAGTTAAAGCCACCTTACCATTTTTCTTAAGAACCTATGAAAAGCCCTCATGGACCAGGCCAAAGGCCCACCTAGTCCCATGGCCAACCAGAAATCCTGGTGGGAATCCAAAAGCAGAATCCAAGCAAAAGAGAGCCCTATCTCCTGATGTGTCAAGCGAGTGGTATTCAGAAGCATTGCTGCCTCTGACTGTGGAGGCAGAGCATAACTGCTGTGCTTAATAGACATTGATAGCCTTCTCCTCTATGAATCTGCCCAAAGAGAAAGCTCTTTTAAAGCCATTCAAATGGTCATCATTGGCTCCTGCTGGAGTGAGTTCCATAGTTTAACTATGAGCTGTGTGATGAAGGACTTTCTTTTACCCATCCTGAATCTCCCAATATTCAGCTTCATTAGATGTCCCTGAGTTCTAGTGCTATGAGATAGGGGGAAAAACATTTAGCTGATGGAGGGGGATACCATTCCAGATAGGGATGACTTCTCCTACTGGAGACAGACAGGGTCTTCAACTTGCAACTTCCTCTCTGGAGGGGAGAAGTCACCCTGTCTCTCCAGACTGACCCTGCCTGCTGCAAGGGATGGTTGCGTTTCTCCATGTAAATATGTGAAGAGGGGAAAAAATTGCATGTTTGTTTTTGTGATTTTTTTCTTTGTCTAGTCCTCTCCTTCCTCTTGTTTGCTAGATCATCATTCTGAATGGGTGTTTTCATTGTGTTTCCTGTTGGCTGCCCTGCCTCCCTGTTTCTTCATTTCTACTTCTCCTTCATTCTCTTTCTCTCCCCCCCACCCCTGTTGTCTGGGGAAGGGGAAAATGTAGGGGGCAGATGGATTCTGTCCCAACTGCCAGGCAGGCATAGGAGAAGTCAGCAGGGCCAGGAACTTGCATTTCCCACCTCACTACGGCTGCCACCTTTGGTCAGGCAAAATAAGTTCCCAACAGCTCAGAGGAGGAGATTTATGCATTTGGAGATTCCAGACGAGCAGCCTTTGGTGATTCTCTAGGTTCTTTGCCAGAACAGGCGGGGGTAAGTATAGGGAGCCCCCACTCTGATTCTGAGGCTTTCCTTAATTCAAAAAAAATTCCCAAAATTGCTTTCATGGGTGATGGGGTTGATTTCCTTGGTGGTGGTGGTAGGGTTTACACCCAGACCTGCTCAATACACTTCATCACCATAAGAGTAAACACAAACACAAGCAGTCCACATGCAGGCATAGGGAAAAGTGGATCTATTCACAAGACGGGGCTTGATAACCCTCCTCCTCCTCCTGCTTGCACCTGAGCCCTGAGGTCCCAGGACTCCTTTCTGGTTAGCCCTCCTTTGCCACAAAAATGGGCTAAAACGTCTGTTCCTCCCATTCAGGCGGTAGGTAGGTCAAGAGGGAGAGGCCCCTCTTAGAAGAGGAAGTGGCTGAGGTTAAGAACCAACCTTGGTTGCTCTCTGCCAAGGCTTTCCAGCCTTTATTAAGAAAGGCTCGTCAGGTGCTGTGATTGCTAGAGGGAAACAAACACCTCCCCTTGAATCCTCTGCAATGTCTTTCGGAGGGGTCAATCTGGAGGTGCCCCAAGTAGTGACCATGACATCTGATGCAAGCCTGTTCAGATGTGGGGCACATCTAGGGTCCCATGTGGTTCAGGGTGTCTGGTGGTTCAGGAGACCCAACTCCGCTTCAACGTGCTGGAGCTCAGAGACATTCAGCTAGGGTTAAAGGCATTGCAGCATTTGTCAACACTAGAGGCGGTTGCTGTTGGTTTGCAGATTGGTATGGAGAGGAGCCCTGGGGTGTTGCCTTTTGTGGTTTTGCCAAACTGCTTGCTTGTGTGCGTGTGTCCTTCCTTTCTTGTACTGAAACGCCAGTGATTTGTTTGATGTATGGGCGCCTGCTTGACGGTTATTCTGCTCTGCTGCTACTCAGTTTGGAGAGACACTATGACTCCACCTCTCTAGAGAGGAAGTTGCAAGTTTAAGACTCTGCCTTTTTCCAGTAGGGGGGGTCACCCTTATCAGAAATGCCGATAAACTGAAATTCAATGTAAGATTCCCCCCCCCATTTTTTCTCTATACACTTTTCCATGTCATGCATCATTTTATCAACTCTACCATGTCGCATCATATTCACTTTTCCTCTAAACTAAAATGTTCAAATACTGCAGTCTTTCCTCATTTTGCATTTATATTCCACCTGTTCTCCAAAGAGCTATACTATACATGGTTTTATTCCTCCCGTTTTTATATCCACAGCTTTGTGAAGTAGGTTAGGCTGAGAGTGAGTGACTGGCCCGAGGTCACCCACTGAGCTTCATGGCTGAATGGGGATTTGAACCCTGGTTTCCCAGGTCTTGGTTCTAAACACTAAACCATCCTGGGTCTCAGTGGGATGTTTATCACAATTAAGCTGCCCTCAGAAAGCTAGAAACACAATTAAACATTTTAAACTGATGTTGTTCACTGTTTTATGGCTCCGAACTGCTTTGAATATAGGAACAAAGAAAGATTCCTTAAATTGAGTCAGATCATTGGCCTATCTAGCTCAGTGCTGCCAACCCTGACAGGTAGCAGCTCTCCAGGGTTTCAGAAAGGAGATATTACTAGCCCAGCCTGAAGATGCTGGGGATTGAATTTGGGAGCTTCTGAAAGCAAAGCAGATGCTATGCTACTGAGCTACTGGCCCTTTCCAGGAACATAAGTTGCCTTATGCAGAGTTGGTCCATTGGCCCATCTAGCTCAGTACTGTCAGCACTGACTGGCAGTGGCTCTTCAAGGATTCAGATGAGGGTCTTTTCCAGCCGTACCTAGATATTGAACCTGGGACCTTCTAAATGGAAAGCAGATACTCTACCACTGAGCTACGACCCTTCTTGGAAACACAGGTAGAGGCTTTATACTGAGTCCAATCACTGATCCCTCTAGTTCAGGGGTATTCATTGTGGTGCCTTACACTGTGGTCATGGATGTGAGAGTTGCAGTCCCGCAAAATCTGCAGGGCTAGCCGTAGTCTGCCCTGACTGGTAGTGGCTCTCCAGGGTTTCAGGTGGGATGTTCCACTTCCCACGTCTACCTGGAGATGCCAGCTATTGAATCTTGAAGCTTCTGCGTGCACGGCAGATACTCTACTGCCACACTACCTTGAGTCAAAATATCAATCCATCAAGCTCAGTATTATCTACACTGACTGGCAGCAGCTCTCCAGGGTTTCAGGCAAGGGAAACTCCCACCCCGACTGGGATTGAACCTGAGACTTTCTGCATGAAAAGCAGATTCTCTGCCTCTGGGAGACAGCCCTTCCCTCCACTACAAATAAATAAGAATTGTGTGCAAAACAGTTGTTTAATTAAGGGTGCCAGGAACTGTAGCTCTTTCCGGGTAAACTGTGGTTCCCAAGATTCTCTGTAGGGAAGGCATATGCTTCTGAATGCCAGTTACTGAAAACCAGAGGAGGGGAGAGTGCTTTTGTGCTAGAATCCTGCTTGTGAGTTTCCCACAGGTCTCTGGCCAGCTGCTGTGAGGACAGGGTGCTGAACTAAACATTGTCCTGATCCAGCAGGGGTGTCCTTATGTCCTTATGCTTTAAATGTGCTTTTAAATGTATGGTGAGGATGTGACCGGCATCTCGCCCAGCAGGCACTTCTCCCCATTGGTGGTAACTCTTAAACCTGCCACTCAGAAGAGGAATGGGTTAAATACCACCCACCCCAGTTTTCTTTCCTTTTTAACCTAAAGTGGGTCTAATGAGCCAGTAATTTGATTTGGTCTATAACATGCTTTTAAAGCGAGGGGATAAATACAGCTGGCCTGCATAAAAGGTAGCTATTAAAGGCGATCCGGGATAGGGCATAATAACTTTAAATTAATAGCGCCCCCTCTTCTCTGTCAGATCCCGCACTTTGGCCTTACTTGGGATTTTGCCATATTTATTCTTTAAAAGGGCTGGCGGGGGGGGGGGGGGACAAACTTTCAAACCGTGCCTGCTGGTCTCTCGGGCAGCCATTTAACCTCCGTTTATGAAGAAATAAAGGGAAATTGATGCTGATTCCAGCCTGCTTTGGGGGATCATTGTGCGGTGTAAGAGCTATTCTGCCTGCAATTTACCGGTCGGCCTTGTCATCCCCATGACGGCTGCTTCTGATCAAGATAAAGCTTTATAGCCAGGGCATTTGCTGCTAACAGCAACCTAATGCTGCATTTTCATTTGGCTGCAATTAATGTTAATGCCTGCAACGAAAATTGTCATTAAAGACCATTTTAAAATCCATTCAATTTGCATAGGCGCAGCCCATTTGCTATCGGGTAAAATACTTGCTGTCGTTCATCACATCTTCCTTTTGCAGCCATTTCCTCCCCCTCCCTCCCACCTACTCCCTTTTTTAAATAGAAAAACCAACTTTATTAGCAGTTTGCTCCCCCCCCCCTTTAAAATGTGAGATCTGTAACATCACAGCTGACCTGGCACCATGCAAGGAATAATATTATTATTAATAATAATAATATGTTTTTAATTACCTGTATTTGTAACCCGCCCATCTGGCATTTTACAAGGTATGCAGAATATAAGAAGAGCCTGACTGCTGGATCAGGCCAATGGCCCTTCTAGTCCAGTATCCAGTGGCCAAACAAAATGCCTCAGTGGGAAACCCATAATCAGGATCTGATCCCGAGTACTCTCCCCTCCTGTAGCTGGTAAGAGATTGAACCTGGGACATTCTGCATGCAAAGCTCTTCCACTGAGTTATAGATGCTTCTGATAAACACAGGAAATATGTCAGGCCATTGATCCATCTCCCTCTGCGTTGTCTGTACCAGGAGCAGGGAACCTTTAGCCATCCAGACGCTGCTGAACTACAACTCCCATCAGCCCCAAGAAAAATTACCAGACTATATCTCCACTCCATTTGCCATGAATTCATACCAATCTCTGTCAGCGGGGATGTCAGTGGAGTTCTGGAGTGCTGCAGCAGCCCTGTGGGAGCTCAACAGATCCCAACCTGGAGTTCCCCTGACCTCACCACTTCTGGCTCACCCTGCTCCATCCTGATGAGTGCAGCCTTGCTGGTACTGGGAAGACACTACAGTGGTACCTCGGGTTACATACGCTTCAGGTTACATACGCTTCAGGTTACAGACTCCGCTAACCCAGAAATATTACCTCGGGTTAAGAACTTTGCTTCAGGATGAGAACAGAAATCGTGCTCCGGCGGCGCAGCGGCAGCAGGAGGCCCCATTAGCTAACGTGGTGCTTCAGGTTAAGAACAGACCTCTGGAACGAATTAAGGTCTTAACCCGAGGTACCACTGTACTGGGTTTGCCCAATCCCCCAAGCCTCTATTATATGAGATTGGAGCATACAAAAAGAGAGAGGTAAATAACAGGGGGAATAAAATCAGTTTCTCCACCACTACCCCTCTGTGGAATCCCTCAAGGAGGTGCCCCACTTTCTTCTGCTCACCGTGCTGGCCGCCCATATGTCATGTCCGCAGGTACTTTCGGAGGAGTCTTCTTGAAGCGCCTCTCATCATCCTCGCAGAGGCGGATGTCCTTTTGCTTGCGGTACAGGTTGCTCTCGTGTGCTGTGACAAAGCCAGCCTTGACGGCTCGGCTGTTGCAGGCCTTCTGGTCGCGGGGCCTCTCCTTCTCTGGAATGCTCTTGGGCTTCATAGAATTCCAGTGGCCAATGGCTATGGGGAGACAACAGTACAGTCAGACCTTGGTTTTTGAACACAGTGCGTTCCGGAAGTCCGTTCAACTTCTGAAACATTTGAAACCCAAGGCGCAGCTTCTGATTGGCTGCAGGAGCTGCAGGAGCATCCTGCAGCCAATCGGAAGCCGCGGAAGCCATGCCAGACGTTCAGCTTCCGAGGCAAAGTTTGTTTACTTCCGGGTTTGCGGTGTTCAAGTTCCAAGTTGTTCGTGAACTAAGCTGTTCGAAAACCAAGGTATGACTGTATTTGTGTTATGTAGTGAAGAGTATTTGTAGAAGCTGTTCCTGTGCAGAGACTGGCCAGGCAGACAGGGTGGTGGTTGTGGTTAAAGCAGTTCATGAACTGTATAGCTTTCAGGTTGAGGTGTGTTTGTATTTGTGTTTATATATTATATATTTTGGAATTTTTGAACACCCTACCTGTTGACATCAGGCAAGTGCCTTGAGTGAACTTTTTTCAGCATCTGCTAAAAACATTTTTGTACGGGCAAGCCAATACAGATATATAGAATGCTGACTTGTTTTAATCTGGTTTTTAGCATTGGTTTTTTAAAAAATGTTTCAAATAGCTGTTTTAAACTTGATAATCTAAATTGATAATCTCATTGTTTTAATCTATTGATAAGCCACTTTGAAGTTTTCCCTTTTGTTTTTACAATGAAGTGGTATATAAATTTTATGGTGTGTGTGTGTGTGGAGAGAGAGAGAGAGAGAGAGAGAGAGAGAGAACTTCCAGCACATAGAAGGCTAGTTGTCAGTGAGAAGTCTAAGCTAGAGACAACCTTCCTGAGGCTTCCGCCCTGCCCAGGGGTGGACCTGGTTTCCCACTGTCACATCATTTGTGTTGTGTGAGATACAGTATATATATGGGTGGGGGTGGGCGAGACAGAAATCATCGATGCAGTGTCTGTATACATAAATAACATCCTTTCTACTTTAGCCCTAAGAATGGGGAATACCATGCACAGTGAATCGCCTCTCAAAACTAGGGTCTTTTACATGGGTGTTTGCTGCAGTATACCATTAATGCAATAATAGCGTACCCCTGCTGGATTCATACTGGACATCATTTCACATCATTAGTTGTACTACAACACTTCCCCACATTACCACATTACAGTGGTACCTCGGGTTATATACGCTTCAGTTTCATACGCTTCAGGTTACAGACTCTGCTAACCTAGAAATAGTGCTTCAGGTTAAGAACTTTGCTTCAGGATGAGAACAGAAATCGTGCTCCGGTGGCGCGGCAGCAGCAGGAGGCCCCATTAGCTAAAGTGGTGCTTCAGGTTAAGAACAGTTTCAGGTTAAGTACGGACCTCCGGAACGAATTAAGTACTTAACCTGAGGTACCACTGTACTACCTATGCCCCCCGCCCGCTGCCTAAACATTTATGGTACAAAAAGTTACAGGATTTCAGCAGAAAGTACACTGACTGGGAATGAAGCAGTGCATCCTCCCTTGAACTTTAGTAGAGCATTGAAAATGGGATGGTATAGCACCTCCCCGTTCCCAGACACCACTCTAAGTTCAATATCATCCATGAATGCACAATTTTTAAATGATGTTTTGGGGGCCCAGGATAATGCCACATGAAAAGAGAGATTCAGGAAATCACAAAAATGCAAAAGACAGCACACTTTCTTCCTCCGAAAAGTGTGGAAAGGTGAAAATATATCAGCGGAAATTAACAGGAAAATGCATCCTTATGGCCCTACCTTCAGCAACGCCTCCATCCAGCCCATGCAAATATAACCCATAGCTGAAAGCATAGCCGGGGAGAGTGTAGCAACTTCTGCGGGGTTTCCCAAGCTCCGGCTGCAAAGAGAAGTAAAAACAGTCATCTTAAATATTCTACCAGCTAAATAATTTATTTATTTGCAGTCATGAAACCCTCATTTTCTGTGAGCAGAATAAATCACACAAAGTAAATTCACATGTAGAAATGCCTGATTAGTGCCAAGGCTCTGATTCAGCATAGGAAACTGCTTTATATTGAGTACTGTCTAGTTCAGTATTGTCTAGATTGACTGGCGGTGGCTCTCAAGGATTGCAGGCAATACCTATCTTTCTCAGCTTTTCTTGGAGATGCTGCTGGAGATTGAACAAGCAACCTTCTGCATGCTGGGCAGATGCTTAACTGCTGAACTATGGCCCC